CGGAAAGGTGGTTCAGACAATGGGAACACCCTGTGCTGAAATGAGGAGGTGCATCAAGGTGAGGTGGGTGGCTTGGTGGAGCAGGGAATAGGCAAATATGAGGCCAGATAAGTAGCAGAAGCCAGATCACGAGCCAGATCATGGCTCAAAGAGTCATGAGCAATGTTCTGGTAAGATTACTGAGGAGACAGACTCTTGCAGCAACCAGGTGAGAAAGCACTGGGTCCTTAACTCAGGCATTGCTTTGGGGGTGAAAGAAGAATGTAGTTAAGAAAGGTATTGATACAACAGATTTGACAGTGTTCGATGGTTAGTGAATGTAAAAAGAGGAAAAGTGGAATGGAGAGAGCAATTGGTACCCAGAGTTTAAATTTCCAAACAGTAATCTTCCTACAGCACTCCAAATGACATAACCTACCAACATAGACATTATTGATTTGTGTTGCAAATTTACATTATCAAGGAATACATGTGGTATTCTATATCAACATAAGAAAAAAAGGCATTTTAAATCTACTGGATAGGTTATAGGTACATTAGCATTAGTATGCACAGGCATAATTGGAACACTAGGAAGGATGTTTAGGATGTATTCTAGACTGTTTAAAATTTACCTTGAGGTGTTCTTGACTTCATTCTCTTGAATTGAGATTGCTGCAAACTCAATAAATCAGTATTAATTTTAACTATCATCAAGCTCTGATGGATTAAAAAAGTGAATTCCCACCCAATAGTAACTTTTCTTGGAGACACAGATATCTATTCAGAAGACTGTGAGAAATGTCATTTGATCAAACAATAAGAATAGTTTTTCCACACCCCAGGAGTATGGAAATATGTGAATAGTTATAATAGAGAATGCACAGTAGAGAATGGCTTTATAATAAGGGCCAATATCTTGGAAAGACATTACAGCACTAACTGAATGATAGTGTATGGGCAAGGGGAAAGTGCTAGAAATATGATTTTATGAGGAAAAAAAACACACACCTTTATGTGTGAAAGAAGAGGGATGGGCTTTCTTTCTTCTTTCCTGCTTGACTAGATCAGGCTTGGATGTACTGTGTGACTTGGTTGGGTCTATACCAAATGAAGATTAACATTTACTGAGATACTAACATTAATATATTTAATATAAGGACTAGAAACCATGGAAGAAGAAACTACAACTACAGGAAAAATGGCCTTGTGTTCCACGGTCATTTATCTGATAAACATTTAATGTAGGGGTCAATGAAACTGTAACTCAACCAGAAAAAAAATCTTATAAATCCAGTTCATTGTGTCCTTTTATAGCTCAAACATGAAGAGTGTGAAAGTATAAGTATTATGATCTTATATAGTGACAAATTACTATGATACTGATAATAATGGGTCTCGCAAAACTAGGAACTTCACTGATAGTATCATTTCTTTATGGGATCATAGAGAGAAAAAAAGAACAAGAGTCATAATAATACTGAGATCTCATGAATTTAATGAAGGGGATATTTTCAATGCCACAATGCCAGGCTATAATTCTTTTCTGACTAGAATCCTCTTAACTTCCTGATGCCATTCATGGTGAAAATAGCCTATTAATTTGTTTTCCTAAACATTTAATGACTAGGAAGGAAATAGATTACAATATAATCTTAAATAGGAAAGAAAAACATTGTTCATGCAAGGCATAAATATGCCAACATCTTTATACAGATTTGATACTGATTTTCTTTTTATAATAATCATGCACTATTTTATAATTGAAATTAATATTACATAACAAAAATACTTTATATGTACTTTTTATGTCATTATATAATGTTGTATAATAGACTATTTTAAAAAATAGTATTAATTTTCCAAAAGGGAAATTTTAAAACATTAATCAATCAGAATGTATTTTGAAAGACATATTTATTTTAATAGCAAGCTTCATCTCTTCTTCCAAAATATTTTTTGTTCCATGCTCAATTTATAAATATAACAAAATAAATAGCTGGCACATATTTTAGAAAAGAAATGTTATGCAAAAAGTGCTCATTAAATTAAGTTTATCTTTATCCCACTTGTTTAAAAAAGTTCTCATGTAAGTTTTCAGGTTAAATATTTATAGCTTGCACTAACTTAAATAAAAATATATAAGTGAAGGGGTAATTATCTCTTATATGTGAAAACTTTCAAAAATTTTCTTATATAAAATGCCACTTAAAAAGCATTTAATGCCTATACCAAAGAGAAGAATGCTGGCATTCAAAATTCTTCTAAAAATTTCAAAAACATATTATCTGTAATTTTTTTCTAAGTTGTATATTAGTTTTAATCTGGATATACTTAAGAGAAAAAATATCTTTACTTTTAAGTTATTTACATATTGTCTTCTCAAAAAGGTTTCTCAAATATACCTTAACCTAAGGCTTAGTTTAAGACAAAATAGTAGAACTAATCAACCCTCTCATTTTTTATGAAAAAGAGTAAAATTCCCCTCCTATTATTTATTTAAAACATTAATATAGATATAAGACATCTTCAAATTCTAGTAGGTTATTTTCCTAACTAAAACAATATAAATGTCATTTTGTCATCAGAAACTTAGTTGTTTGAGGGTAACAATGATTTTCTCACAATCTCTATGAAGTCGCTCAATTTGTATTACTAAATCATCATTTAAGAGGTAAATTTAAAATTTCCCTTTATTTCACTACAACATTAAAAACATAATCTGAAGACCAATTGAAGTAATTAATGAAAAATTTACAGTCATAATAGAAAAAGCTTTCCCACACAACAGGAATACAGAGGCTGGCAAAAGTAGATTTATAGTCGTAAATACTCGAAACAGTTCATTCTTGCATTATTATTTATATATTAATTATTGTATTAACCTCCCTTTGCCACCAACATAGGACCACCTAAGTCTATAAAGCAAATTTTGGTGGATATAAAGGAAGAGATTGACAGTAATACAGTCATAGTAGGGGACTTTAACACCCCATTGATATCAATAGATTGATCTTCCTGACAGAAAATCAACAAGGACATAGCACCCTTAAATGACATACGAGATTAGACGGATTTAATTGATATCTTCAGAGCATTTCACCCCAAAGCAGCAGAATATACATTCTTTTCAAGTGCATATGGAACATTTTCTAGGATAGACCAAATGTCAGAAAACAGAACAAATCTCAATAAGCTTAATAAGAACAAGGACTGATCCAGAGACAGAGAGGAATTGATTTAACTGTCGGGCCTTGGAGGGAAGGTAGGGGAGGGGAGGGGAAAGGGGGAGAGATCAACCAAAGGACTTATATGCAAGCATATAGGCCTAACCAATGGACAGGGACAACAGGGAGGGGTGAGGGCATGAGCGGGGGGTGGGGATAATGTGGGGATATGGACACATATGCATTATCTTAATCAATAAAAAATATATTTTAAAAAAATAAGATTGAAATGTTACTAATAATGAATGGGTTAACAATGGGATCAAGGAAGAAATTAAACAATTCCTTGAAACTAATAAAAATCAGACTACAATAACCCAAAATCTATGGGAAAACAGTCCTAAGAGGGAAATTCATAGCAATACAGGCCTACCTCAAGAAACAAGAAAAAATTTCAAATAAACAACCTACCTTTACACTTAATGGAACTAGAAAGAAAAATAAAAAAAGCCTAAAGTGAGTGGAAGGAGGGATATAGTAAAGGTCAGAGCAGACAAAAAAAATAGAGTCTATAAGAAAACAATATAGAAGATCAATGAAACAAGCCAGTTAGAGAAAGATAAATATCACATGATCTCACTCATTTGTGGAATATAATGAACAACATAAACTGATGAACAAAAATTGATCCAGAGACAGAGAAGCATTGATCAGACCGTCAAATCTCAGAGGGAAGGTAGGGGAGGGTGGGGGTAAGGGAGAGAGATCAACCAAAAGACTTGTATGCATGCATATAAGCATAAACAACGGACAGAGACACCAAGGGGTGAGAGCATGATTGGGGGGTGAGGTGGGGGGCAATGGGTGGATAAGAACACACTTGTAATACCTTAATCAATAAAGAAAAAAAAGAAAAGTTAAACACGATTGGTGAACCTTTAACCAGTATCATCAAAAAAGAGAGCAAGAGGATCCAAATAAATAAAATCAGAAATGAAAGAGAAATAACAATTGACTCCACCCAGAAATAAAAGGATTGTAAGAAAATATTACAAACAACTATATGCCAACAATTGGACAATCTTGACAAAATGGATAAATTCCTAAGTATATGAAATTTTAAAATATATTGATTTGCTTTGAAACAGTATGTATAGCTATAAAAGTTGGAGTTATTTTAACTCTGAATATGTACCACGTCGGACACTGTGTTCTTTTCATTGGTGAAGGGGCTCTCACAGAAGTTCAGGTTTGGAAGGATTTCCTTTGTCCTGTTGGGTTTTGAGGGATGGGATACGGAGCTAGAAGTGTGGGAGGGATTTCTCCAGCATTGACATCTACTCCATGAGCTGTTTCTATGTGCTTGTTTTATAGTTTATTAAAATTACTTGATATTAAAAATTTATTAAAAGTGAATAAGTTCAAGGGATATTTTGTGTAATGTGAGTCATCCATATGGATATCAGATATCAGAAACCAACATATTGAAGAGTGATCATATATTGGCCATAAGGAATCCTTTAGATTTCCAATTAAAATCAGAAGGACAACTGTCAGGCAATATCTTCTTTTCAGTCTCTAATTTATCATATTATGGCACTAATTAATTTTAGAGAAATTCCTACACTGTAGTATTCTAACCATAGTAAAAATGCCTCTAGAGATACTTTGATAAAAGTGTAAATTTTCAATAAAGAACTAATTTTAAAAATTTCAAAAGAATTATTTGTAATAGTAGTTCTGATATGTCTTTAAGGTCAAACAATTAATCCAGCGTTTAGATCCAGAGAGTTTAATAATTTATGCAATATTACTTAGAAACACATAAACTGATGTTTAAGTGGTTATTCATACCGTCATAAATCCATCCAGCAAACCTGAATCGGGTTTCGGAGGTGCCTGCAACCGTTCCATCGACCATTTTTCTATGATGGAAGAGACTTGCGTATTTTCGGTATTTAATATTCTGAACCCTGTCATGTTAACGCCACTGTATCGGTAGGGCTCTACATCAAGAGCGAAGAGGTCCTGAAAGACAAATGTTTTCATGTTATTATCAAAAGAGTATATTTACAAGCATGCATAATTGAAAAAGTCACTTATTCTTGCTTGCCTTAGGATACATATACACACACACTATTCTAATTCCACCAATGCTACAACAGGCTTTTTTATAGCCACCTTTAAGATTTACATGAGCTTTCTTTTCCATGTTAAAGATAGCTTATCCTTAAATATTATGCATTACTATTTCACTTTTAACTAACTAGAGGTATCTTTTCGATGCCCTGCTTTTTTGGCTGGTTATTGCCATTTTATATTTTAGGTGTTTTGTTTGTTTTGTTTTGTTTTAAGAAACAGGTCACAATATATGGCTTATAACTAAATAAAAAATATATCAAAACAGAAAAAGAAGTTAAGAAGACTGTCCTTTTCGGTTGCAACACCCTATCTGGCAACTTCACCACAAGGAACCCTTTAGATTTCCAATCTGTATACAGTGAATGCTCTGCTTTTCCCTTTGTTTTTCCCAGAAGACAGGAGACTAAAGCTATCAAAGTACCTGGATGACACTATGAAAACATGCAGCACATCAGACCTTCGCCTTTTCTCTAACCGATCTTACCGCCACGTAAGAACAGGGGCAAGATTAATGACATTGGTTCTATGTAAAGCTTGCCTTGGACACGTACAGCTATTCAGGTTAGATAACAGGAATAAAATTATGTGGATCTTTAGGTTTTTCTTTTTCAATGTTTGCAGTCAAGCCAAGGATATCTATCCAATGCGGTAAATAATATATTGCAATGTACGCGAAGGGGTAAAAGAGTAGAAGTCAGCAAAAGTCAGAAGACAGATGACTTAATTTTCATAGTCAGAAACAACTGCCTAAAGCAGATGGATTCTGAGCTGCCATCAAAGAGTGGTCAGGCTTTTGAGAGGCAAAAGGGGAAATGTCAGTAGAGATAAAAATTAGAAAATATACAACCTATCCAGGAGACTGATCTAGATCAGTTTGGCCACAAAAGAGAATTCATAAAAGAGAGTAGCAGCAAACAAATCAACTAGAAAAGTTAGGTTAGAATCAAACTAAAAAGGCCTCAATTACAGGCTGTGTTCTATACACTGAACACTAGTTCTTTTCGTATTTTTTTTTCTTATTAAGAGATGCTTTTGATTTCCCTAAAATCTTATGATTATGGGAGAACCGAATTTTGGCAGAATTAAAGTATAATTTGCTGATGAGTGAAGGCTTCCACTCCCTCTCCACCAGCCTATCACTGAGTTTCTTACAGGCCACAAAAATTCTCCTGGTGGGAAGTGATATAGAGATAGTACAGCAGAGTTAACCTTAATATTTATCAGTAAAATGCAACTTACAGCTAGAAGGATCTCCAGTGAAGGAGAATTTTAATACAGGAAGCTATTGTGATCAATTAAATCTTAGTAATTTGATCTGGTAGTTTCAACCCTCAGAAAAACAAGGTGATTACCTGGAAGACTTTTACGTTAACAGAGAAAAAAGCATTCGTTAAATTGGTCAATGGGGAAAGAGAAGAAGATGCATGCTAGAAACACTATGGAGGAAAGAACAGTAGAATTTTGTTGGTGATAATGAGTCAGAGACAAAAGAAATTTTGAAGGAAGTCAGAAGAGGGGTCAATTTAGAGGATAATATATTAAGTTTAAATAATTTGAAATGATCTTAATGACACAACAATTAGGATTATTCTTCAATGTAGCAATACTAATACACAACAATTCAAGACTATTACAGATGGACATTTAGATCTTATTTGAACAAAGGTAATAATTGAAACTTTAAATACATACCATTTCTGAAGAAAATGGTCAAAGATAAAAAAAAAAAAGAAAATAGGATGGAGGCCCAAATTTGGAGATACTTTTTGGAGACAGGCAGGAAACAAATCTTGGAGACATACAGCTATTTCACAGGGAAAGGTGTTAAAAGAAACAGGCTCCAAATGGAATCACTTTTGCAAAGCCCATGTCACCAAACCAAGGCTTAATACTTAGCCTAGTTGCATTTTCAAACTTCCTTGGGAATGTCATCTTACTGGTCTGTTTGTAATTTCCAGGTCAACAACAGTGAGGTAATCTGCCTAAATATACCCTTTTGTCCCCCAATAGGAGGTAACCTTGCCTGAAATAACCCTTTTCTGCATTTATGACTTCCTCTTCCCACGCTCTCTCTGCTTTTAAAAGCCTTTTGTACAACCCCTCAGAGTTCCTCTCCACTTGGTAGACAGGATGCTATCCGATTCAAAATCATTCAATAAAGTCAACTAGATCTTCAACTTTACTTATTTAAATGTTATGTTTTTAATAAAGAGAAATCCGGATATGACATGATAAAGAAATAGAGTAAGTAGGTTTGATAAAACAGCAAAGTCAGGTTTTTGTGCATATTAAGGAAAAACTGTGTGGTGGGTATGTACAGACAAAAGATAAATGTAACATTCAATTTTCTAATAGTTAATTAAATAATATTGACTAAAAAACCAACTAAATATAGACAAATACAATATGGTAAATTTAATCTACTAAAAGAGCAGCTTCAACAAATATGATTTTTGTAAAGTGCATAGAGTTAACCACATAAGAATTTGTGCTTTTCTAAAACATTGATTTCTCAGTGAACTAGTTTTGAATTGCGTTATGTTCTGAAACTCATCTACAGATGAGAGAATATTTTGAATTTAATATCTAAAATGATTTTATTTCAATATCACCAGCTTCTCACCAAGAAATATTAGTTCTTTGTTATGATAATTCCTCCTGGGCTTTATCAAAATAATATACAGTATAACTACAACAGTGTCAGTCATATTATTTCTTCTCACTCAAAAGCCCATTTCCCATTCTGGAAAGTCATAATAATAAAATTAGAGCATTATCTTTATGTTTTATAAATTACTTACCAGAGTGGTAAAGATATAATGATAATATTCTGTCATCATCCCCATAGCTAATGCCTAAGAAATAAAAAATAAAGTAAATATAAGTATACTGATACTAAAGGTACACATTATATGAAATACATTATGTCAATAAGACAAATGAGAACAAAATAGTATGATTTAATAAAGAATCAGTCTATATTATTAAGGTTACATTAAAATTGAGTCAAACTAAGTCTTTCCTCCATAGTTGAAGAAGATTAGTGGTTACTGAAGAAATTTCAGAACTAATTATCTTGATAGAATAGCTATTAGTTGAATGTGTGCAATTGTGAAGCTTATTGCTTTGCATATTGAAGGAGAAATTTCATTTGACACAAACCTGAGATAGCACATCTAAGTTCATTATGTGTGTAATGTGTCCACCATTAATACCCTAATGAGGAACACCATTTTATTTTGATAAAAGGCATTACTCAATTAGGGAAAAATGTGCTGCAAAGTACAATGCCAATAGGAATTTTTTTTAGCATTTTAGAGATGTTTCCCCGACATTAAAGAAGCAGGTGTAAATCACCACTGTCATTCAAAAAGTACAGATAAAAAAAATATATTTTTATTCATAGGCCAATTTCAATCCTCTATGTTTTATTTCATACTTTTAAGTCCTTGTCAATATTAGACTACTAATATTAAAACAAAGACTTTTGGAAAAAGAGTCAGTAGAAAACAAGCATTTTCAGTTGCATCTAACGTCCAATACTGTTGCACACACTAACTACACAAATTCATTCTGGGCGGAGGTGGCATCTTAGCTATTAAGACATGCATGACAATTAGTGTCTTCCATTTGCCTCAGAAAAGTCTAGCCAGCCCCAAGCTCCACTCAGTTTTAAAGCTTTCAGAAAAGAGAACGTCAAATTCACTGTTGCTGAGTATTTAGAAAAAGCTTAGTTAGTGTAAACAAATTAAGCAAACAAATAAGCAAATAAGGCTACACTGATAAATCCATTATTTTTTTTCTGGATATTTAAAATATTGGATTAAACCCATCTATGTCTGCTCTCCAAATTTTATACCATATCCTCAGAGTTCCATCGTTAACCAATGTTGAAGAATCTCAGAAAAAAAATATAAATCATAAAATAGAGTCCTAGTAAATGTTGTCTTGCTACATTAACAAGAAGGAAGTTATTTGATTTATTCTTGAATTGGTTTCTAGAATAACTGAGTTCTAAAGAGGAGACAAATCTCTGGGACAAGGTAACTTAAAAAAATACTGCTGTATATATGTGGTTTGCCAGTGTTATAGAATCTAAAGGACATATTCTGTGTGATAATGCTACTCTGACTTCTTAATTTTCACATTCTCATTTTACCTTTGCTCTGAATTTTCATTTACTAATCCATACATATACATATACATATACATATACATATACATATACATATACATATACATAGCCAGCAACCGGAACGCCAGAATGACCAGAATGACCAGTTGCTATGATGCCCACTGCAGCCAGAGAACCAGCCTGATCCGAGGGTGGGGCTGGACTGCCAACCTTCTGCAGCCCCTCCCTCTGGCAAGCCCCGCCCCCTTTGGGCCCCCACCACCCCGATCAGGCCGCAAACCCTCCCCCCTGCCAGCCCCACCCCTGATCACCCCCCCACCCCAACAGGGAGTGGGACCAGCTGGCCAACCTCCTGCAGCCATTCCCTCCACCCAGCCCCACCCCAGGTCGACCTCCAGACCCCAATTCGGGGCAGGGCCACCAGCCAACCGCCTGCAGCTTCTCCTCCAGGCCCCCGATCAGCCTCCCCAACCCCAATTGGGGGCGAAGCCCACTGGCAAATTGCCCTCTGCCCCTCCCACAGCTGCCCGGCCCTGATCGGGCCCCAATTGGGATGAGCCGGTCTGACAACCTCCCACCATCTCCTCTTCCCGACAGACCTGGCCCCGATCCACCCCAATTGGGGCCAGGCTGGCCAGACCCCACCCGTGCATGAATTCGTGCACTGGGCCACTAGTCTTGTTATAATTATGTATCTTTTCCTGTCGTGTATATATTTTAAATATTATCATAATTCTGTTTTCTTACTAGTATGTGTATCCTGACCTAGGTTTATTTTAGAATAAATATTTTTTACTATCTCTAAGTCAGAATACACACAAGAAAACAAGTATAAAATAATGAATGAATCAAAGAGAAGGCAGAATGGAAATTCTATTAAAGATGATAGGCCTTTCACCTTTCAAATAGCAAAATAAGTCATAGTTATTCTAGGGACAAAATAGCTGATCATTTACATGCTAATTGGAAGCCTAGAGAGAGAGCCTACCAAAGCTCTGTTAGCTGAGTATTAACTCACTCCAGGAATAAAGAAAGGGTCTCCTCTCCAAGGCTGTTATTTTTGTTTTTAAATACATTTTTTATTGATTTCAGAGAGGAAGAAAGAGGAGGAGAGAGAGGAAAATAACAATGAGAGAGAATCATTGATCAGTTGCCTCCTGCACATCCCACAATGGGGATAGAACCTGCAACCTGGGCATGTGCCCTGACTAAGAACTGAACCATGACCTGCTGGCTTATAGTTCAATGTTCAACCACTGAGCAATACTAGCTGGGCAAGTCTGTGTATTCTTAATGTGATCAAGAATTGTTTTGATATTAAATGAAAACAAATTCCTACTCTAGATTTCAGTGCTTGCTTTATTGTATTATTTTGCTCATTAAAAAAATAAAAACAAACAAACCTCACATGCTTTATTACCCAAATATAACACTAGATCAATTTTCCAAATCCAATTAAATATTTTACTGTAGTGAAATCAATATTCATATGGGAAGATTGGACAAACTTCTGTTTAATAAAATAAACATGTTAAAACAGGCATTTACTGTTGGTAATTATATGTTAAAGGACATAATTTGACATCTGAATCTATATCACTCTCTAGTAGTGAAATTTTATCCTACACATGAAAGATTTGAAGATAGTTAAAAAATTCTAAAACACCATGGTGTCAGCAATGTACAGAAAAATTCTAAAAAACAAAGTATAAAAACTTATGTTCAAATATAGGTTTTACCACATTGTAAGTATATGGCCTTGAACAAACTATTTAACTCCCAACATTAGTTCCCTCATCTGTAAGATATCTACACTAATAAAAGACAAAGATGCAAATTGACCGTACTTTTGCTACACCGTAAGCCACGCCCACCAGCCAATCAGAGCAACTATATGCAAATTAACCCAACCAAGATAGAGGCGGGCAGCCACGGAGCTGGAGCAAGCAGGAGGCTTGGTTGCCCCAATGATGGAGGAAGCCAAGCTTCCCTCCCGCCCACCCTTGTTGGCTCTGAGCTCCTCTCAAGACTACAAAGTTTCAATTATAGAAGGTAACTAAATCCCAAAATAATAAAAAAAAAAAAGAATAAAAGGAGAGGCTGAGAGTTTCCATCGCTGGCCCTCAGCCCCTCACCCAGACTGGCCAGGAACCCCAGTGGAGAACCCCCACCCTAAAGGGCTGTGGCCAGACTGAAAATAGCCATCAGCCCCTCACCCAGGCTGGCCAGGCACCCCAGCGGGACCCCCACCCTAATCCGGGACACCCCTCAGGGCAAACCAGCTGGACCCCACCCATGCACCAGGCCTCTATCCTATATAATAAAAGGGTAATATGCAAACAGATCCTAACAGCAGAACGACTGGGAATGAGTGGTCACTATGACACACACTGACCACCAGGGGGAAGACGATAAATGCAGGAGCGGCACCATGGTGGTCAGTACGCTCCCACAGGGGGAGCTCTGCTCAGCCACAAGCCAGGCTGATGCAGCCAGTACAGCGGTGGTGGTGGGAGCCTCTCCCGCCTCCTCAGCAGTGCTAAGGATGCCCGACTACAGCTTAGGCCTGCTCCCTGCTGGCAAGTGGACATCCTCCGAGGGCTGCTGGGCTTCCAGAGGGATGTCTGATTGCCAGCTTAGGCCCAATCTCCCGGGGAGCGGACCTAAGCCAGCAGGTGATCATTCCCCGAGGGGTCCCAGACTGTCAGAGGGCACAGGCCGGGCTGAGGGACCCCCCCCACCCCCCGTGCACAAATTTTTGTGCACCTGACCTCTAGTAAGCTAATAATAATTGCTGTTTTCAAAGGTGCTATTAGGTCTGAATAGTGCTGAAATAATATTAAGAGATCTTACTGCTATAAATTATTTGATTTAGTATTATCTTTTAAGTAGGCAATGCTTATTCTGGAAGGAATCTTTCTTTTTTATTAAATGTCCTGTTAATAAAATTATATAGATTGCAAGTGTACAATTCCATAATGCATCATCTTTACATTGCATTGTGTGTGTACCACCCAAAGTTAAATCTTCTATCACCATGCATTTAACTTCCTTTCCCCTTTACTATCCTCCCACCCCCTTCCTTCTGGTAACCACTATACTGTGTCTATGAGTTTTTGTTTGTTTGTTTTCTTGTTTGTTCATTATTCCTTTAAGTTTTATTTCTTAACGTCACTGGGTGGGATACACATCCTCTGGTATTTCCTTGCTGTTGGACATTGGTCAAGTTACTTAATCTTTTTGAGACTCATTATCTTTATCTTAAAGAAGAGATGGCCCATTTTTCTTTTGGTTGTGATGATGATTAAATATGAGCAAATGTGTAAGGCATCTCACAGTAGATACTAGCTAAATAGCAAATCTTTTTTTTTTTTTCCTACCAGTTGATTTTAATGGCTGAGCTGCTCAACTGTTGACCCCTAGTTTCTCCTTCATTTCAGTACAAAACAGAAATATCTGTGTCATTAATCAATATTCATATTAAAAAACAGTATTTAGCCACGTAAAATAACCTATGAACTACAATCTGTTTGAAGATCATCAATCTTTTACTTTTCCTGCAAAACAATTTATTAAAAGCAATTGTCAGACTTTTTATCAGAAAATTACATCTAGGAAAATACTCTGTGTGTATGGACAGAAAATAAACTGTCCATATAACAATAACACTTTGATTTGCAAACCAAAGTCCAAACTTTAAATGCAAATTTAAAAATAAACTAATAATTTAAGTAATTTAAACATTACCTGTTTCAAAATGCCTGCTGCCATTTCATGGCTACAGTCAAAGATTACATGGAACTCCTTGCCTCTTTTCATTTCTTTTAGTAAGGGTTTTGCATCCTTTGTATCAGCAGGTAGTTGACGAATTTTAAGTCGAAGATTGTACCTTGATGGAGCTTTGATGAGCTCTTGCAAACGAATGAGACCTTTAATGAAAAAGGTACAAAAAAAGAATATTAAAGAAAAGTTGGAGTGGGCCATAGAATCACAAAACATACCACAATGTCTGATTTTCTTGCCCATGTATATGTGCATAATGTAGTATGACCATTGAAATTCCTATTTCAAAACTCTAGATTCCAGATGATTTTCATTAGAATAATCATTTTTGAAATTCTATAAGGTATTTTTCAAATTATGAAATACATAAATGACTATGTATTTAACATAAATCATTTAAATATGTAAATGAAGGCTGTCAAATTGTCTTCCTCTGTACCTCAATACTACTATATGAGTTAACATAAGTCATTTAAATATGTAAATGAAGGGTGTCAAATTGTCTTCCTCTGTACCTCAATACTACTCTCAATTGTCTCCCTCTGTACCTCAATACTACTCACTGTTAATAGCTTGAAATATAAATATTCCATATACTTTCTGTGCTATTTCAAATATATACTTAGAGTTTTGCTTTGTTTTGTGTTTTATATTAATAGTTGTTTTGTGAAAATGTCTTACACACAGTTTTAAGTCAGTGAATATTATTCTAGTTTGTCCATCATTAAGAGTGTTTTATAGAGGACATATTTTGTGTAATTATTGTCTATTGTTAGAAACTTTGGTTACTTCTTTTTTTGTTTTTTGTTTACAAGTAATGGTTTAGTAATTTGGTGTATTTTCAAAAGTCAAATAATATTCCTTAATAAAATAGACTCTAAGTAGCCTGAACCATAATGAAATTACTTTAAGAAATAAACTTTTTAATATTGTTTTCTAGGTATAATATTAAATTCAGAAATTAATATAACCACAGACATTGGTAAAGCAAACATTTTCCTAGAGCAGTAGCTCCTGATTACATTAAAAAATAAATCAAACTAATAGACACATATTTAATAGGTCATAGAAATGTCATGCACTTAAAATAACAAAGAAAAATAATTGACTGTATTCCTTTATACAAACTTCAAGTAATGAAACCCCTTTAGGAAGTGATACAAAAGACACAATATATAAAAGAGCTTGATAAGAAAAAAGGATCATCCAATTATATTCAAGCTTGAACCAAATTAGCAATTTCCTTTTCTCTTCTTTCTATTCTTTCTTCTTATCCACCTACCTCTTTTTCCATTTTATTTCTATATTTTTATTTCTCCATTTCTATCTTCCCTGAAAAGCTATTTTCATAAATATTAATATGACAATAATAATAAAGGAAAAGATTTGTAAGTAACTAACCTGGAACATATCATTATAACTAAAAACCTATCGTTTATTAAAATATATAAGATCTAAAGACTAAAATCCAATTATAAAAGTTTTAAAATAAATAATATATTCTCATATATTTATGCTGTGTGCACTTTAATATAGTGCAGCATAGGTAACAATAAAATTAACTTAACCAATTATTTTCATCCACAAATAAGACATACAATTTAAAAACCATACAAACTGAAACTTATCTACTATCTTTTGCTTTTAAAATAGCATCCCATAAAAATTACTTTATTGTAGATTATTTTACAATTTTGCCATTTAAAATTCTCCAAATAACGATGGTATAATTTACAAAGTATAGTATTATTAGTTCATTTTGTTTTACAAATTTAAATATTTATTAATATAACAAAGTAAATAGTATATAATTAATTGATATTAAATGTACCCTTTAAGCAATACAATTCAGTTTAGAGAATTAACATGTATATAATGAGTACAGATTATATTATTTAGTATATACATAAAATTGAGCTGTACAAAGGTAAAAATAAAAATATCTGCTACATATAGCACCTGCTTAATTGTAGCAGAGTTTAACATTGGACTTATACAATCTTTCAAAGCATGTATAAAAGTACCAGATCCAGAGGAAACTTTAGTTTCCATGGTAGATCAGCAGTTCTCAAAGTGTGGTCCGCAGACCCCTACATCCTTACGTTTTCATAATAAAACTAAGAGATTATTTGGCTTTTTTACTCTCATTCCCTCTCATGTGTGAAGTGGAGTGTACTAGAGGTTACAAAATGTATGATGTTACAAGAGATTGAATGAGAAAACAGGTATGAAAATCTAGCTAACTCCCATTAAATCAAACATTAAAGAAACTTATGATAATATAAAGCAATGCCACTCTTCTCACTGTTTTTTGTTTGTTTGTTTGTTTGCTCTGGAAAATATAGGTATGTTTCATTAAAAACATGCTATTTATGTGATTAAATAATGGGTTTACTATTGCCATTATTAAATGAATCAATATGTATTTTAAATGTATGATTTTTTACTTTGAATATGGTATCAGTAAATATAACACATAAGTTCTTTTAGATATAATCATGAAATATTAAGAATGTGAAGTACTAAAACCAAAATGTCTAAGAATTATTCGATTGGATTATCTCTAAATTGTTCATAGCTGGAAATTTTCATTATTCTAACAAAATTATTTATATAAACACAGACTGATCAATACCTGATCAGTAGCTTTAGCTGAAGAAAGAAGAGCAAGCTGCCCTTGGCTTATTTACCTCACAAGATTTTGTGCAAGTTAAATGTAGACTTAGGGGAGTTGGCCTATCATAACAAAAAATAGCCTGGGTATTGTATTTGAATCTCAGTTCAAAAATCTATGATCTGTGTAAAAGGATAAAACCATCTATGTATTAATATATAAAACACCAAAAAAAGAAACTGGCATATATTAGATTCTCAAATAAGTGGCAGTTGTCATTGGTGTTATTTTTATTAACATAGGAAGAATATAGTTATTTTTTTTTAATGTGCTAGTTATTAAGTCTGTTTTAGAAGGTATTTGACACTGATTTAGACTGAAAACCTAACAATATTTTAATCAAATTTTTAAGAGATGAACTTATTACCAAAGGAAAGGGGTTATATAGTTACAAATTAGTCTAGCAGTTTTTTAAGTTGAAAAAGCTCAACTAACTCAGAAACATAAATTTTATGAAGAATAAAATCCATCAAGAGTATTTGTGAAATTCGCCTTAAGTATAAATACTGCCAAGGATATTCAAGTCTCTTAAGAACTCATGTGGATAGTCCCTGGAGCCATAAAACAATAAATGTTTACTTATTCTCTTCACACATATACATCCCTGCTGGCATTAATGTAACAGATTTCAGTTTGCCCGCTTCCCTGGGGAATAATATCGAAGCTCTAAGAAAATAACTGTTGCTACTAGGAACTGCCATTTCCTAGTGAAGAATTTAAGTGAAATATCTTCATTCAACATAGATCTACTGCATGTCTTCTATGTGGCAGACACTGTTTCACTGATAAACGCTATGACTGAAGTTATATTATGTATTCAGTCTCAACTGCATGATATCAAGTTTGACTTTGGCATTTTTTAATACAAAAGTTGTTCCTATAATGCTTTTCATAATCAGTTTTTGGAATCAAAGTGGTTCAATAGCATCAGAGAGCAGAAACCTGGACACCTATTTGAATCCTAAGAGCAGCATCATAGTTTTAAGTTACGGCTTTCCATCATCTCCTGTACTCAGAAGTCTAAGCACTTCTATCTCTCTTGGCTTCTAAGCATTCATTGATATGCCCTGGGGTGTTGCCTCTTTTTTAATCTATATTCTCATTCCAGGTTCTTTGTATTCCTCATTATCTGACATTTAGATACAAATGTCTGCCCCAAACCTGTTATTTAGAACACTTTGGAAGAATAAGAGGAGTGACAAAATGGAAGATGCATTCAAAACATCCAAAGAAAGAACAGACACTTACCTACCTATTTGATATAAGTAATTGGATGGCATCCTGTATGTGGATGGTGTTTTCTCCATAGTAAAATGGGCGTAAATGAAAGGAATATATTCCAATTACAATACTGGCTATGTATTTTCCTGTACAGATCTCTGTCGATCTTCCTATCTCCCCCAATATCCTCCTGCAACTAACAATGTTCTAAAAATAGTAATTCCTGAAAAAATCACCCTAACCAAATTCATCATCATATAGAACTGAATATGCATCCTTTGTAAAAAAAACAAAAGAGTTTTTCCCCTTTTTTAGGGGAAAAAAAGTGAGCCTCTCAAAGTATTTAAATGGTTTACATGCAGTCCTGACCTATGGGGCCTTTGGTCAAAATGGAGAAATAAAGGGACCCATCTCTGAGATGAAATAAAAGGAAAAAGTCTATTTTATTGAAAATGTGGCTAAAACAAATAATTTCCGAAGAACAATTTTCAGAAAAATAGTTTAGCCAATTTGGCACCTGGTTAGGTTATTTAATGAAAGAGTAGAATTATAACTCCTTAAAACAGCCTTTTAATTAAAATGCCCACTTTTCCCTAATGCAATTAGTTGATGTAATGGTGATAAAAAAGAAACAATCTGCACAGATGGGTTTCTGAAAAGCTTCTAACAAAGAAGAGCTGCGCATTGCAATTATCACTTTATTTTGGAAGATGAGTAACATTCTATTGCCTCTAATTCCTTCACAGATAGTATATTTTTTTAACCTCTTTCCACTTTCAGTTATTTTACAATAGCTGAAATCAAGGTTTATCTTGTGCTTACAGGGAATAGAGGTCTGAGCTGCCTTTTCAAAAGTTTCCATCAATTTAGCTTTTAAGGAGACTCCAGAAGGAGCCATTTGTGCACACTCCAGCTGGCGCTTCCTTCCAAAAAGATCAATCACACCACCTCTCCACAGGCCCAGCCTCTCCAGGCCCCAGGAAGGGAGTCCCATGTCTCCTCCCATCCCCAGGTATTGATTTGGGCAGCCCACAAACTAGAGCTTTGCCACCTGGCTTACTCAACAGCCTTATTTATCATTTCAGCAAATGTGGTCTCTGTGCAGGCCAGACTTCCCCCAAAAGTGCACTGTATAATAAACGATACAAAAATGACTCATCTACATTCAATGGTTCATCACACACACACACACACACACACACACACACACACACACACACTTTTTTTTTTTTTTTTATTTGAGAAAGGATC